CATCAATTTTTAAGGTGTTGCATACACTTTTAAGACTGTTGCATGTTATAAATTTTGACGTCTGATTTGCACAAACATAAGTCCCCATACATATACCAGTATCCATGCAGATTCTGTTGATATGTCCTGTATTAGTCCTCTGTCCTGATTTTGTTAATCTTAAAAAAATTTCATGCAGAAATTAATGCTCTTTTATACATAATAGGATTTTCTAGCACTTTCAATAAAATGAAATCTGATGTCTGATTGGACAGAAGCTATTCAGGTTTGTACCTAAAGCATTTACAGGGGAGAAAACTCAACCTTGGCCTTGATCATGCAACAGTCTTAAATAGAATGATAATCTTGGTTTAGTTTCTTTTGAGGTGCGATTTATTGCAATCAAACTAAATCTTCAAGAAGGGTAGCCTTTTGCAAGATTTTAACACACATTTGAATTTTAAGAACCATGTCAACACCATTCTTTCTCAGTTACTGTGTATTCTACTTGTGTGCTAATTAATTTGTATTTAAATCAAACCAAAACTATATGAGAACTAGCATGTTTAAAGAATTTCACACAAATTTCAATTCTTAAAACCTTGGCAACACCATTCAACAAAATCAATACAAAACTAAAGGTACTGTGGCAATGAGCTCACTAAATGATACCCCCTGCCTCCAATTTTGCTGTGGCCGGGAAACCCAAAATACCGGTATGTGTCGAATCAAAAAATAAAATAGGAGGTGCACAATGGCAATTTGTACTCGTTAATAAAGATTCTGTGAAAGTTTCATTAAATTTCACTCAGTGGTATAAGAGGATTTGCGGATAAGGGATGGGTACCCCAAAGCGTAACAGACGGACAGACAGCTAGACGGACGGACGGATATGCCGATTATAGTATACCATCCCACTGTTCAAGAGGGGGATTACAGTAGAATTATGTACTAGTATCTCAGTATAGTTAACTATATTGAAATCAAGCCAAAACTGGGAAATGTTTACACACAGATAGATAGAAGAATGCCTGACACCTGACTAATTGCCCAAACTCTTTAGGACTCTGACCAGAAGAGCTTAAATTCACATGAACTACATAAAATAAATAAAAATGCATTTCAAAGAGCAGTTATAGAAGGTATTTAAATCCCCCTCTAACCAGGAAGTATAAACACCTGACAAGTAGATAACACAGGTGTGTCACGTGATCAGAGTACTTAAAGATTGCACTTGGAGATCGATCAATGACAGCCGCCATTACTGAAGTCAGGTAAGAAATTTTACAGTTTTAAAACAGTTCTGAAAGTTCCTGAAAATTCAGTACTGCAGTCTTAAACTATGGCAAGCAAATTTTCTTTCCCACAAATATTCAATGAACCTTGTATAATTAATAACAAAAAAACTTCTTTACGTACATGAATATATCTGCCTAATGGTCTCAGGCAAAATGAAATTTTTGGAGTCAGAAAAATGCATGTTGCTCTCATTAATGTAAAGCAACTTATTCCTAATTAATTTTTTTATGCTACAGTCATAAAATCTTAAGATGGACCGTACCAGTGCCCAGGACGTGATGCGATGTGACCTGTGTGAGACCGCTGTGGTACAGATGCACTGTGATACATGTCTTGTCAACCTATGTACAGCTTGTGTAGGAAAACACATGATATCTGATCAATCTATCAATCATAAAGTTGTACCTTTTGAAACCAGAAAATCCATTCCCATCTACCCTGGATGTGTATCCCATGCCAAAGAACAATGTGAAATGTACTGCAAACAATGTGACATTCCTGTCTGTCTTAGCTGTCTTGCATCCAAACAACATATAGGTCATGAATTATCTAAAGTCTTGCAAGTTGTGGATGAAAAGAAGGACATTATTATGAAAGAAAAAAAAGAATTAGATGAATCAATTTGTCCAACCTACCAGGAAATTGCCTCTGATGTTAAAAACAGAATGAGTCAGTTAGAAAAGGAATATGGAGATCTCTCAACAGCCATAACAAAACATGGAGAGGACTGGCACAGAGAAATTGACAAACTTGTCAAGAAACTTAAAGCTGAAGTTGATGAGATGAAAAACACACAGTTACAAACTCTACAGAAACATCTGGATGAAATAAACAAGACAATGTCTGACATCAAGGATGAAATTGATTCAATGGAAACTGCAACAGACACAAATGACTTGTCAAATCTATTAAGGGTCACGTCCAATGCATCCAGATACAGAAATCTTCCACACAAAATTTTTCCATCTTTACCAAAATTCATTCCAGGAAGACAACAAGGAGAAGAACTTGGTAAATTGTTTGGAGTTTTATCATCAAGTTCTTTAACATCAGATCAACATGGCTACAGCATGAAGACACCACAGAAATCACCAGAAGCTGGATCCTCTCCTCCAGTCAAACAGCTGCTTGATGAACCAGAAAGTGTCACCACCATAGACACTGTGTATAGTGGTATACTTGGTGGGCTTTACAATGTGGCCTGTCTGAGTGATGAAGAAATCTGGACAAGTGGAACTGACAACGCCATGAAACTCTACAGCATCAATCAGGGATCACTACTCAAGTCAATCACAACCAAGTCAGGGAACAATCCATATGACATAGCAGTGACAAAAAGTGGAGATCTAGTTTATACTGATTACATTGATAGAACTGTGAACATTGTGAAGAATGAGAAGATAGAGGAGGTGATCAGACTACAGAAATGGAGACCTAGAGGTGTCTGTAGTACAACCTCTGGTGACCTCCTGGTTATCATGGACAGTAATGATAATAAACAAACAAAAGTTGTCCGTTACTCTGGCTCCACTGAAACACAAACCATTCAGTTTGATGATAAAGGTAAACCTCTCTATTCCTATGGTCCCTTTTACAGATACATTACTGAGAACAGGAACCTGGATATCTGTGTGTCTGACAGTGAAGCTAAAGCAGTAGTGGTGGTCAATCAGGCCGGGAAACTGAGATTCAGGTACACTGGACATACTCTTGCTCTAAAGAACAAACCATTCGATCCACAGGGAATCACCACAGACAGTCAGGGTCACATCCTTATAGCGAATTATAACAATGACTGTGTCCACATGACAGACCAGGATGGACAGTTCCTCCGTTACATAGAATGTAGACTGAGTGTTCCCTATGGACTGTGTACAGATACAAATGACAATCTGTTTGTTGCTCAATATGGAGATAGACAAGTGAAGAAAATCAAATATCTTAAGTGAAATCTTTGACCATTTTTAAAGTAAAACATGACAGTTATTCATCTTAAAATAAAAATAATAATCATACAAAGACACTTTTATTCATTTATCATAATAATGATTAACGTAAAATGCTACAATGTCATTTGCATTTTCTATATATACCGGTAAATAAGAAGTTTGATGAGTGGAATTTTGAGGAAAAATATATTCTAAATTATAACATCATCAAAATTTTCACCATAAATCAAGGCATGTAGCATTCTACATCTATCAGGATACAAACTGTCCCGATCCCAATGCAAATTTTGTCAATTCTGTTTGGCACAAAGGACAAAGTATCCTACTTACACACACAAACAATAACTACATCCCCATCGACTCCACTGCAATGTAAGAATTGTTCTACAATGTATTTACAAAGGAGAGGATTAAGAGTTAAAAAGAACAAAGTTTACTAAAGGCCTATTTTAGCCCTGTGAATATCAAAAACATTGCAATTTCACAAAGCCCATTTTCTATAGCTGGACTTGTAGAAAAAACTTTTTTTTATAGGAAATTTAAGTTCTCATCTTTATATTGATGTTAGTAATTATGATAATGTGATTTGGTCATTAAATTGGTATATGGGCAGGGTCATTTCATGGAAAGTGAAAACACTTGATCATCACAGATAAGATGCAGAATAAAGTTCTGACCCCGTCCATTTTTTGTATTTATTATTTGTAAACATAGCATACCTCTGCTTGGTCATTACAGATGAGATGCAGAATAAAATTCCGATACCCATCACCTTTGTTTATGTTTGTATATAACATACCTCTACTTGGTCGTCACAGATGAGATGGAGTATAAAGTTCTGGATTTCCTTTTTGTGTTTTGTCTGGATCATGGTAAAGAGGTTACAGAACACCATGACCTGGATGTAACCAAGGATCGCAACTCGGGAATGCCAGGACTTCAGACCCATCACCTAAAGAAATCAAAGAAATATTTAGTAATAAAGTTTCTATTTTTATACCTGGGTAAACAAATTGCAACTTCAGGTCCTTGCAACTTTTTCATATTCTTCAAACTTTCTCCATTCCATCAGCACATCTTCTTACTATGATGAGAGCCTGACAACTCTAACAAAAATTTTGCATGAAAGAAACTTAAAATATATTTTTTTAAAAACAAAGGTTCCTCGAATTGTACATGCGCTGATTTTGACCATGGTCTGTTGTACTCACCTCTCTGATGGTCTCCAAACACACCGTGACATTGTTTTCCTGAATCAAAGCCTGAGAGAAGCAGGCCAGTGCCATAGAACAGTCTGTCTTCAATTCCTCATCTTTAGTCTCACTCTCTAACGTACAAATCTGGGGGAAATATCAAATGAATCTCAATATCGAAAAGTCATTTTAAACCTAAAAAGTTTTTCTGCATATTTTTCATCACTCTGCTTAAATACATGTACATGTACGATCATATAATATGAAAATATTTACGAATTTAAAAAGAGATTCGAAATGCATATTCTGCAATCCTCACAATAATACTTATTACTGAAAGAAAGAGGAAAAGTTCTGGTGTAGTTGAGGTCAACATTCTACCTAGACCATCTGATATCCACTTCAGCACTGCAACAAAAAATGATGAAAAAGTCCAACCATCATAATTTTTTTTTCTGTTTTATGAATTAAACCATTATCTTTGTTAATTTATATGTATATTCATAAAGTTGTAATCCCCCTAACCTGTTTTACATAGCCTTATGGTTGTCTTCCTCTCTTCATCCTCATCATCTTCCACCTCCATCTTCTCTGATGAGGAAGACATGTCTCTGTAGTTCTCCTCATCTGTAAAAAGTTCAAATACATTTACATATTCATAGACTTCTAACACCTTGTGCAAATATGAAAGCCATAGCCCCACCCACTTCATTGTTATGGGATGGGTTAAAGTTGACAACAGACAGACAGAAAAACAGACAGACAGACATACAGGACAAAACCAATATACCCACCGGATCTTTCGATCCCGGGACATAAACCCCTGGAATCTTTCGATCCCAGAGCATGTAATTTAAAGTTATTAATGCAGTACCGTAAAGCGGGTTTTCTTGGGGGGGGGTGTAAAATTTGGCGTTTTGCTCAAAGAAATGCCAATAATTTTGGCATAATTTATTTTAGCGGACACAGTGATTTAGATCGTCGCAGATGAACACTAAAAAGAGAACTGACTATTAATAGAACTAGAACCTACCTTTTGAGCTGCCATTGTTTCCATTGTCTGATAGCACCAGGTCTTTGAGAGGTTCCAGTTGTGGAATCACCTTCTGGACAAAGTCCACTCTGTGTGGAGATTTAGTGGAGGAACCCGCCGTGATGCTGTAGTCATACAATATGATGTTGGACAGCAGGCTACAACAGAGGAATTAACTCTAAAGTGTTCCATCATGAGTTTCACTTAGAAATTGAAATATGATTTATGTAATCCAGACACCACTGGTTAAATAAACATTTGTCCGAATGTTCAACTTTCTTGGTTCTACATTCAAACCATATCAGGAGCTTACCTTCCAATCCTGTCCCTGACGTTCTTGTATCTGGGAGAGAGGTACAGTGTCAGGAACTCTAACAGATGATGGAGGAGTTCTGGTACTCTCTATTCCTGTTGTACTAAAGCATTCTGTAAAATCCTAAAGTGTCTAACTGGTAATGTTATTTATAGAGGTTCTGAATGGGCATTCACAGCAAAACTCAATAAGATGAAAGATATGTTGATATGCAAATTATTAATCAAGTACTTAATTGACTTTAGCTTATAAACCTTGTCTACATTGGTAAATTTGAGTCAAGAACAATTACAAGTACAGTATTTATGTCACAGGAAGCTGAAGGTGTCATGATATTTTTATGTATATCAACATCGTGATGTTTCATTTTACGTATAATATAAACTTTAAGAATACTATCCACCCCCCTTCTATATATTAACACAACACAACATAGGTGTGAGCCAGACAAGCTTTGCAGGCAGCCGGCTTTTAATAATTTTATTAACATTCTTATGTAGCAAGACAGATTGACAAATCCTTGTTATTTAAATAAACCATGACATAAACCATTATGCAAAATATCCCCATAATCGACATTAAAAACCGCCCAGGAAAAACCATAGACAAAATATATGAAAAAACTATGGAAACCTGTGTCCGAACGCAAGTGTTAAGTAATGTCTAGGGGTGAATATCGGACTTATTCATATAAAAAACGAAAAGAAAAATACAAATATATATTTGAATTTAAACAATCTCGTCAAAACAAAATAAGAAAGAAAAAAAAATAGTGCTCCGTGCACTGAGAAAGACTGACTTAGAATGACCTTAACTTCACGCCACTGACCCTTTATAGTGGCCTTCCTATGGCCCGCCTTGTATTACTACGCATAGCTATTCAAACACGTTGCTATCATACAACGTTTTCCCGCTATTCTCCGAAACGCAGGAAAACTCTAGTATAATATAAACTTTAAGAATACTATCCACCCCCCTTCTATATATTAACACAACATAACATAGGTGTAAGCCAGATAAGCTTAGAATAAAATGTTCAAAAGTAAGCAAAAGTTGTAAACGTTATTAAAAAACTCAACAAAAATGCAAGGTATTATGAAATATATGTATATAAAACTTTTTTTTTTACAAACATATTTCATTTACCAAAGAAAAATTTTCAAGTCATAATCCTAAATTTTTCGAAACAGAAAGTCTACTTTCTAGGCTGTCTTTCACGTATCCATCTTTGGACGAATCTGATGCCCATCTACCATGTTTCTTTCAACATCGCTCGTTTACTTTGGAATTTGCTGCAGCCGTCGCGCCTTCTGAACGCAGAGAATGAAGACCAATATTGATATTTCCCATAACGGATTTTAGTTTTGACAAAATGCACTCCCTGGCCCTGGTATAACTAAGTTTTTTGTCTTTGTATATTAACTTTAAACCGTCTTTAGATTTAAACACGGACTTGAACAAAAAGTGACCAGAAGAAATGTCTATACTTCCTAAAGATATATAACGATTTAACATTTTAACTGGACAAGCCGAGGTAACACCAGCAGATATTAAAATTTCGTTTCCTTGTCTATATTGATCGGTTTTGGTTTTGTTGATGGAAATTTTCACATATCCGTCCATGAAAGTTAAATCTGAACAACGGAGAGAACTAAGCTCCTCGAAACGTAAAAATCCAGCAAAAGAAAGAAGAATCATACACAGATCACGCACTTCTAACAAATTTGTGCTGTCGACATAAGTATCACACAATAAAATTAAATCACTGGCTGTGACGATTTTTTTTTATAACTTTAGGTTTGTTATTACGCTTGGAAGCCTCTAATAAATTTTTAATGAAGGAGTGTTCTGTTGGATCCTTATGGCCTAAAATAGAATGGGCCCACTTAATAGCATATACAGCACTGGAAATGACGTGGAAAGAACAACCGATGTGCAGTAAGTGAGTGAGATACAGGGAAATGTGAAATGGATTGGCCGGTATAGCTGATTTTCCTTTGTTTGCAATGAATTTTGACCATCTGCTGAATGATGAAATATATTTCTTGCTGGTGGTCACACTTCTAGATTTCATGATATATTCACACATTTTTGCTGCTAACACTGCATTATCTGGAGATGAAAGGTCCACACATGATGAAATCAAACTGTCCTGCACACTCTTTTGAACATTTAGCTCTGAAAAATAAATAAATGACAAATTGTATATTATTAACATGTATCTAAAATTCGATTCGTAATGCAACCATGTCAAATACTATGTGACCTCCAAATATATCATTTGCCCCTCTACCTCTTTCAGTTATCAAAGAATTGACCTTCTTCACTCCCTTAATAAAATAATCCCAATCATCCCCTTTGCGTAATAAAAGCCAAAATGGGGAAGATTTCCATTGAGGAATGATAAGAGTACCCTTTCCTTTGTCTTGTTTCAGTTTGTTTATTGTCTTACAAACCAACCTAGGAGGCGGAACCAACCAATTATTGTCATTACCCCAGAAATGCTTAAAAGCGTCTATTCCACTGGTATCTGGGCACCACCACCTTGAATTAAATTTAATACATTTAGTATTATAGTCTGTTGCAAACCTATCGCATGAGTGTATACCCCAACAATTGTCAATAGTTTGAAAAACACTATTTTTTATTCCCCAGTCATCACTATCAAAACATCTACTAAGCAAGTCTGCTTGAATGTTATTGCCTCTTGGCACCCAATTTATATCAAACACTTTTTGTGAATTCAGAATTTTTTCATTTATTTTAACAGCAATATCATGCAAATGAGACTTTCTACTACCGACTTCCAAAATTCTACAAGCACTTTTGCTGTCAGTATACCATGCTACGTTTTTGCCCTGAATACTTTCTCCTATAGTATTCAAACACCTGTTAATTGCTTCTAGTTCTCTCCACGTAGAACTTTTCAAGGATTCCTGTCCTGTCCAGAGACCTAGTACCTTTGTAATCTCTGAATTTTCTACATAAGCCCCAAAACCTGAATCAGAAGCGTCGCTAAAAACCTTTAAATCTGAAGATTCACTGCAAGTCTTAATTTCCTTACCATTAATTGACACTGCATTGTCTCTCCAAAATGTCAGTTCTCCTAACGATTGATCACTTAGTTTAATACTTGAATTCCAACTGTATCTTGTCAATATGTCTTGATATAAATATCTAGTGTTGAAACGAACAGCATGTCCCATAGCGGCTTCCATAGATATGATCTGACCCACAATACTAGCTATTGATTTCAGAAGAAAGCATACGTACCCAGATTGAGTCTTAGATAAAATTTCCTCGATACACTTGAGAAGCTTATTAATTCTCTCTGAGGTTACTTTTAAGACACCGTTAACCGTATCCCATTTAAAACCTAACCATACTATATTTTGCTGTGGGTACCAGACACTTTTTGAATCTGCAATAATAAATCCCAACTCTGTTAAGTCTCTTTTGATAATTTCGCTAAGTAGAAATGCGTCATCAAAATTACTACATCCAGCTAATCCATCGTCCAAATACATGACAACCTGAAAACTCAGGGATCTCCAATACTGAACTACTTTTCTCATAAATTTTGTAAAAATAAGAGCTGCTGAAGAAATGCCGAATGGTAATACATTGAAAACAAAATATTTGATAGCACCATTGATTTCCCATTGAAAACCTAGATATTGTCTATGCTGTTCAAAAATTTCAATGTGATGATACGCTGATTTTAAATCGAAGCTAAATAAAAAATCCCCTTTTTGAAAAATTTCTCTTGCAACTTTAACATCTTCAATTCTGAACGAAAAATCGTGAATACAAGCATTGATATGCCTACAGTCTAACACTAAGCGAGGTTTACCTGCTTTGTTGAAAGCAAGAGTCAAAGGATTAACAACAAAAGGAACATTCCTTACCTGTGTTACGCAACCTTTGTCAATGAGCTTTTGAATCTCGGAATAAACAATTTTGACATTATCCCTAGCAGATTTGTTATTGTCCAAACAGACACTCTCTGGAATAGTTTTAAATGGAATCTTGTATCCGTTAACTATTACATCTAAAATGTACTTATCGGTCTTTATTTCTACCCATTTTGTCAAATGACTTCTCAAACGTCCAACTGGACTGACATTTTCATCTACAATGGCCACAAAACGGCGTACATTCGTTTTTCTATTCAAAACACTAATCTTAGATAATACACTTTCTTGATTACTGCATATATTTTGAGCAATACTATCTAAATTACTTAACTTAGAGCTTGTCTCTTTGCTGTTGCTGGTGCTGGTGCATTCCTTTGCCCAATGACCGGCGAAACCGCATTTAAAGCATGTCCCCGACTTTTTGCTGCCCTCGTATGACTTGGTCTGATTTTGTGCGCTGCTGGACTTCTCCGGGTATGGGTTGATGCGTCTGGCCGCTCTCGCCTTTTGGATCCGCTCCTCTTTTAACTTCTTTTCGGCCCTTATTTCTGCCTTCAAAATTCGTTTTTCATCCTCCTCGTCAGACGCTAATTCGTGCTGCGTGTAGTCTTGAACGGTGCGCCATCCCGTCTTAGATGAGTCTGCTAATTTAATTAATTTTTGTCGCTGATGAATAAGCTCTATACATGAGGAAATGCAATTAAAAGCTACTTCTGGCTCCCCTTCGCTCAGACCCGTGTTGGCCTCTACCAGCTTGTCACTAATGCTGTTGTTAAATTTGTACTGAGCCTCGTTTCCCTTTCGTTTAAAGACAAAAGCCCTGTCGTTTGCTGCTTGAAGTTTAGAAAGCTGTTGCTCATGCTGTTGTCTTTGCTGTTTCGTTATTCTCTGCTCGAAAGATGATAATTTGGAGTCCATTATCTCCGAAACTCGTTGTAGTAGTCGTCGTTCGCCATGCTGCCCGAGAAAAATAGTGCTCCGTGCACTGAGAAAGACTGGCTTAGAATGACCTTAACTTTACGCCACTGACCCTTTATATACTGGCCTTCCTATGGCCCGCCTTGTATTACTACGCATAGCTATTCAAACACGTTGCTATCATACAATGTTTTCCCGCTATTCTCCGAAACGCGGGAAAACTCTTTTAATTCATATGTATTTCTTATATGTGAAGTAATTCCACAAAATGGTTTTTGAATGATTATCAACCATATGCATGGAGCATAAACGTGTTCCTAACACAATGATATTGATTCGTGTAACTGTATGTGTATGCTGGACTTCCTAAAAATAATTTAAAAGAAAACATCAAAAAGTATCTCTTCCACTCTTTCCTGTAATAATTTTACAAATTGACCAGTCATGTATATGATGAAGATATTGATAAGGATATTTCAGAATATCAATACTATGGAATTGTATTTGTTTTTGCAGTTACAACAACGATTTTCATGAAAGCATACTTTTTATTTTTTTTTAAATCCATATTTTTTTTCATAAATGCAAACATGACAAGGATTCTCATCATTATGGTAAAATAATTTGTTAATGACATAATTGTAAACTAATTGTATCACATCGGGAATAATTTAAATCAAAACCCACGGATTATGATAACACAGTCCTTTTTAATATAGGTTCAAGAAATGCAATTTAAAAAAAAAAACTTTTCATACAGTTTCATGAAATTTTATAGATTGGGAATATTTCAGTCCGTCTCGATACCTTTTTATCATGATAATATGCCTTTTGGTATTTTAACCTGACATATGGTTTTGGTATCACCGCATTCATGTATATCTGTAACATGTAATTAAAAACTTCAGTAATTGTACATGCTTATACACTAATATGTAGTTACGTGGATGCTGAACAATTAAATGCAATGATATGCAAACCTAAATTCATATTTACCCCAAAACACTGTGGCTGTACTAGTTTTACACCTTGAAGTCTAGGGAAATGCTTATGTTGACTTGAAGAACATTTTTCCCTGACAGATTTAATGTGATGCCTTTCATCAAATGACTAATGACTTTGGCACTGCATCCTTAACAGTTACTCTCTATATAAAATATTTTATTTGAAAAGGTTAGTTTTAAAACACCTTACTATTTCTGAAAATAAATACATGTAACTGTACCTACATATCTTAAGTGATACAGTGTAGTATCAATCAATCAAAAATTGTCTTCATTTATGCAAGAGTTTTTTGAGGTTTAGAAAATGCAGATTAAAAAAAAGCTCACAACAAATCTCTGTTAGCAATCTCAAAATTAGATATCTAAATTATTTCCCTTGAACCAACTAAGATTTGTACAAAGCTACATTTTCATATAACCAACTTCGGCCAAAGCACAATTTTTTTTAATACGAAATCCTTTTTAGTATAATAACCAACTTTGGCTGCTTAATCCATAAAACTGATCAGACTTCATGTGTTTACTTGATTACCTTAACAAAATGCAAATAAATATTGTATTCATGATACACATCAAATACATTGTATGAAAAAACACTAAAACATAACTGAAATGCTCAAACTATATGGGAGGAGGAATAATGAAATCACTGATTATGTCTAACGAAATCCTTGAAATGCGATGGGCACTGATGACTTCTGCGACCCTGTTTCTGGGGGAGATAACTCTGGTCTGTTCTACCATGACTGAGCTGTTCCTAATTCGGTCCTTACACCTTGGTTTGTAATATTTCTAGGAGCCGATCCGTTGTCAAGCGTAGTAAGTAGGGGACACTAGAATATCAGTTAATATGACAAGTTGATCGTCTGTAAATATTTGTTTGTGATCATGCCAATTGTCGTGGTGTGTTCTACGGAAGTTTGATAGAGTTTTCTTCACAATCATCTGCAAAAAATAAAACCAACAGAGTTTACCAATATTATACTTTCATATATTCAAATTCTAAAATCTGATTGGTTTACCCTCAGCTGTAGCAACACACTTGACAACAGGTATCACATTGAATAGTGTTCTAATGACCTAAATTGGCTGAGTTTAAGTGTGAATTTGTTGAGAAGAGTGTAAGATTCAACTGACCTAAATTGGTTGTCACGAGTGTAAGGATGTTTTGGCCAAACATAAAGATCTACTGACCTGTATTGGTTGAGGATCGTTTACATGGTTACTAAGGTCCATTAGGATCTGTGGCATGAACTCGGGTACATTATAAGGATAAGCTTCCACTAAAGTATGAGACCCAGGACACCAGCGTGACGCTTTATTAGGGCCTCCAGAGGCATCGTGTCCGCCAACTTACGCTTCTTCACCTTGTTCTTACTCAGAACTTCAAAGTGTTCCTGTTTGTAAGTAATATAAAATTTAAAACTAGATAGACATATTTTCCCGGTTTGCATGGTATATTGTTTTCATTCTGAAGATTTTCAAGTGAAAATAAAACAAAAGTTCATCTTAAAAATGTTTGTTTGCCCTCTTCCAAATAAGCTTAAATCAATGGGTTCGTAGGTAGGTTGGTAATTTTGTTTCAAAGAAAAAAAACAAGGTGTGTTTTTGAACCACCGAAGACCCCTTAGGGCAACAAACAAACATGTTGATACCCAAAGGAAGGCCTTCTCACATATAAATACAAATGTGAAATATAAAACCTTGCAACACCTGTTCAAAGTTATAGCCAATGTAAAAGTTTTGTAAAGGTAGGTCAATCTCCGGGGTCAAGGTCAAAGGGTCAAGGTTGTTGGTTTCCAAAGAAAGGCTTGTCACAAAGATAACATTTAGGAAGTATGAAAGCCCTAGCCCCAACCATTCATAAGCTATTGCCAAGGTTAACGTTTTTAAAAAGAAGATCCAAGGACGTGGTCAAAGTTGTTAGTATCCGAAAGATTTGTCAAAAGAATTACATATGTGAAGTATAAAATCCCTAGCGCCTGCCATTTAAAAGTTATGACCATGGCAAGGTTTAAGTTTTTTGAAAGTAGGTCAATATCAAAAGTCAAGGTCTAAAGTGTCAAAGTTGTTGGTATCCTATGGAAGGTCTTGTCACAAATATATGTGAAATATGACATTCTTAGCATCAACTGTTCAAGAGTTAAGACCAAAGTTAAAGTTTGAAATTTTAGTGCAAAAGTGTCAAACTCCAAGGTCAAGAGGTCAAATTTGGTGGTACCCAAAGAAAGGTCTTTTTCGTGCCAACAATGGAACCTAAATTTCATGAGGAATATTTTGATATACATTAAATATATATATAGAACCATTTATTTTAACAAAAACATCATTGTCCATGAAATTTTTGGACAACCCTCATATATTAACCACAAAACTTCATATTTGACATTCTGAGATAACAAATAATAAGATGAATATATATTATGACTATGTAGAAAATCAGAAATAACCAGCATATCTTTGTCCATGTCTAGAAATCCACAATGTACCAATCCACTTAAAGTTATGGCTGCCATTTCCCTCACCTTTAATACAAATACAATTAATAACTTTTACATATAGTATTGTAAAACACAAAAAAAGTTTGCTTACATCAAGTTTTTAATAGTGTCACACTCAGTTTTTTTTCTTTTTACACAGTTGCATGCAATTAATTTAAAATTCTGATTTGCACAAACATAGACCCAAAACATGTATGGTCATGCAGAAATTAATGCTCTTTTATACATATTACACATTAATACATGTTTATATATGTACATTTTAATATGCACAAAGGAATATTCTACTGCTTTAAAATAAAATGAAATCAGAAGTCTACAATAAGATGTTGGCTCTACTGGTTTGTATTGAAATCAAAGGAGCAGAAAAGATACACTTGGACTTGTAACTGTGCAACAACAATATATAGCAATAAAATAATAGTCCGTGGTTTATTTTTCTTTTGGTGAGCAAATTCATTTAAATTGAGACTAATACTGTACATGTTGTAGGAGGGATAGTTTTTTGCAAGAACTTTATGAATTTTAGAAATTTCAGTTTTAAAAAATCATAGCAACACCTTTCATCAAAGTAAAAAAGAATAAAAAGTTCTTTTTAAGTGTATTCTACATGTGTGCTGAGTTATATTAAAATTGGACAAAAACTGGACAAAAACTGTAGGAGGAATAGCGTTTCACACAAATTTCAATTTTCAAAAACTTTGGCAACTTTATTTATCAAAATCAAATAATAAGCGAGAAAATTACGTATCTTAGTGTAGTGTACTTTTGTGCCAAATCACATTGTATAATGAAATCATTTCCCCAAACTGTAGGAATTGTTTACACACAAACAGACAAACGAAAGTCACCATTATGGAATACTATTGCATAAATCCTTCTGTTCAAGTAGATCAAAAGAGCTATAAAACATCACATGACAATATAAAGTAAATAATGCATTTGGAAGCGCACTTTAAGGTATTTAAATCTCCTTCCAGACCAGGAAGTATAAACACCTGACAGGTGTGTCATGTGATCAGAGTTAAATAGAGATAGGCTGCACTTGGAGCTAGATTAAGGACGGCCGCCATTACTGAAGTCAGGTAAGAAACATTTAAGTATTACTGTGCATTTGAAAACAATTCTGAAAGTCATCAAAAATTCAATACTGCAGGTTTAATTATGCAAACACATTTTTCTTCCCACAAATATTCAATGAACCTTGTATAATTAATATAAAAACTTGTTTACGTACATGAATATCTCTGCCTAATGGTCTCGGGCAAAACGTAGATTTTGGAGTCAGAAAAAATGCATGTTGCTCTCAAATGTGAAGCAGCTTATTCTTAATTATATTTCTTTATGCTTTAGTCACAAAACCTAATGATGGACCCCCGTACCAGTGCCCAGGATGTGATGCGATGTGACCTGTGTGAGACCGCTGTGGTACAGATGCACTGTGATACATGTCTTGTCAAGCTGTGTACAGCTTGTGTAGGAAAACACATGATATCCGATGAATCCAAGGACCACAAAGTCGTTAAATTTCAGGCCAGGAAATTCACTCCCCTCTACCCTGTATGTACATCTCATGAGAAAGAACGATGTGAAATGTACTGTAAACAATGTGACATTCCTGTCTGTCTTAGCTGCCTTGCATCCAAACAACATTTAGGACATGAATTATCAAAAATCTTGCAAGTTGTGGGGGAAAAGAATGACATGATTACAAAAGAGAGAAATGAATTAAATGATACAATTTTCCCCACATACCAAGATATTGCCTCTGATGTAAAAAACAGAATGAGTCAGTTAGAAAAGGAATATGGGTATCTCTCAACAGCCATAACAAAACATGGAGAGGACTGGCACAGAGAAATTGACAAACTTGTCAAGAAACTTAAAGCTGAAGTTGTTGAGATGAAAAACACACAGTTACAAACTCTACAGAAACATCTGGATGAAATAAACAAAACAATGTCTATCATCAAATATGAAATTAATTCAATGGAAACTGCAATAGACACCAATGACTTGTCAAAACTATCAAGTGTCATGTCCAATGTACACACATACAGAAATCTTCCACACAAAATTATACCATCTTTACCCAAATTCATTCCAGGAAAAATCCAAGAAGAAGAAATTAGTACACTATTTGGAGCCTTATCCTCAAGTTCTTTAACATCAGATAAACATGGCTACAGTATGAAGACAACACAGAAATCACCAGAAGCTGGATTCTCTCCTGCAGTCAAACAGCTGCTTGATAAACCAGAGACAGTCACCAACATAGACACTGGGTATATCTTGAGCATTTACAATGTGGCCTGCTTGAATGATGAAGAAATCTGGACAAGTGGAAATGACAACACCATGAAACTCTTAAGCATCAATCAGGGATCACTACTCAAGTCAATCACAACCAGGTCAAAGAACAGACCATCTAACATAGCAGTGACAAAAAGTGGAGATCTAGTTTTTACTGATCACAATGATAGAACTGTGAACATTGTGAAGAATGAGAAGATAGAGAAGGTGATCAGACTACAGAACTGGAGACCTAAAGGTGTCTGTAGTACCTCCTCTGGTGACCTCCTGGTTATCATGGACAGTGATGATGACAAACAAACAAAAGTTGTCTGTTACTCTGGCTCCTCAGAGAAACAAACCATTCAGTTTGATAATAAAGGTAAACCTCTCTATTCACCTAGTTCTTATGATTTAAGATACATTACTGAGAACAAGAACCTGGATATCTGTGCGTCTGATGAGGGAGCTAAAGCAGTAGTGGTGGTCAATCAGGCCGGGAAACTGAGATTCAGTTACACTGGACATACTCCTGTTCCAAAGAACCAACCATTCTGTCCACTAGGAATCACTACAGACAGTCAGAGTCACATCCTTACAGCCGATTATAAGAATGACTTTATCCACATCATAGACAAGGATGGAAAGTTCCTCTGTTACATAGACTGTGGACTGAGTGAACCCAGGGGACTGTGTATAGATACAAATGACAATCTGTTTGTTGCTCAAGTGTGGAAGAAAGAAGTGAGGAAAATCAAATATCTGACGTGAAATCTTTGAGCATTTTACAGTAAAACATGACAATGATTCATCTTAAAATTATGATTATAAGTCACTCTAAGATAATGCATGTTAAACTGTATGTTTCCCCATAAAGAAACATTCATACAAGGGCACCACAAAGCAGCATATCCCCTCACATAGAGCATATCTACACTGTATACAATTTTTAAAAGTATTTTTAATTTATCCAAGCTTTGCTAGTTTAAATTCTGAATTTATTTTCAAAATTTCATTTATATACTGTAAATCAACTTTTATTTGCAACGACTTCATTAAGCGATTTACCATGGGTAGACTGGTTTGTGATGATTTATTTTTGCAATCAAGCCTTTTTTGGATCTGTTGTTAATAGTCCAGAGACTTTATGGACCGGTTCACGGCGAGAAATATTTGCGACATAATAGCTCTCGCGAACCTCCTCAGCTATGTCAAGGACCAATATGGGAAATGTGACCTTAAAATTGTTTTATAATATTATGTATTACTTCTTTTAAAAATTTGTAACAAAGCAACTGAATACTACGAAAGCCCAGAAGGCTCATTCGAGATTCAAGTTTCGAAATACGAGATTCGAAATTTGAAATTCGAGTTTCGAAATTCAATATCCAAACTAACCTATCAAAAGCGGGTTCAACTTTTGATTACTTCCCTTTGTTACGTTTTTACTACCAAGAAATCGTAGAATATATTTATAACAATTGGATCATTTGCTAAATGATAATGCAAGAAAAAATGTTTTATGTATTAAAACGAAATAAAAATGAAATTTGGTTTACGTTTTGATATATATATATATATATATATATATATATATATATATATATATATATATATATATATATATATATATATATATATATATATATATATATATATATATATATATATATATCCAAAGTCTCTTTTTGTCAATACAATAAAAAACTTTAAAACACTTTTCGAAATATTTCAGCCGTGTCACCGGCCTTCATCAGTCGTGTTTATTTAAATGCATAGCAACTCAACAGTATTATGACGTCACAATGAACATAGAAATTGAGAGGCAACGTCATGCACTAAAATTGCGCCAAAAACATCTGAAAATATTGTGAGAGCAAAAATTGTACTTGTGTATCAAAATTTTTATCATACAGAATAAAATACTAGAATACGGGGTATATTTAAAAGATGATTTTAAAGTATACATAAAAGTATATCTCTAAAAATAAGTATCACAATGTCACACAAATGTTCATAAATCAAATTCAAAGACAGAAGTGTTTCCTTTTGTTAATACCAAATGGTATATAAGTGTTCAACTTTTTCTTCCAAAGATTTTCTCTATATTTGCGGTAAATGTCATTCTTATACAGTTTTTCAATGCCTATTATATTATAATCTTCTACTGTATGTACATCTGAATTAAAATGAGTAGCCACAGGATCATTTGTTTCTCTTCTAATTAAAGACAAATTCAACACATGTCTTTGATATAAACTATCACCAGTTTCTCCCACATACACTATTTTGTCACACTTTTTACAAAAAATTCCATAAACAACATTCCTTGATTTACAATTAATATAATTTTTGACTTGAAAAGTGCATCCGTTATTATCTTCAAACTGGCTGGTTTTCACAACAAATTTAGACAAAATACATTTTTTAGCACCACATGGCTCACATAAATTTCCTTTTTTAAAAAATAAATTGTTGTGTTTTTTATACACTAAAATGTCTTTCAAATTTTTGTTTCTTTTATAGGAAACGATTGGGGTCTTTTTGAACGCGAGTTTCAGGCGATCGGAATTTTCAAGAATTTTTTGTCTTTTCTTCAAAATGTTATGAATATTCGGTAATCCTTTTGAATAGGTCAACACAAGGGGAACACGGTCACATCGCGTTTTATTTTTTCCTATGTAAGAATTGTTCTACAGTGTATTTGAAATGGAGATGATTAAGGTTTAAAAAGAACCAGGTTTACTTAAGACCTATTTTGGTTCTGTGAATTTCAAGAACATTCAATTATCACAAAGCCCATATTTCGGAAAGACTTTATCTGTCCCCAGAAAAACGTACTAAAATGTAGTGTCGTCGAAGGTGACTTCACTATATATGAGATCGTGTGAGCGATTGAAAAAAAATTTTAATATGTTTTTTTTTTTACCTTTTGAGCCTCAAAATCAAATTCTACAGTTAAAAGTTTACCAGGTAGTTTAAAACTTCGTTTTTAAACGTAGTTTTTAACCTCATTCTCCGAAAAAAATTAATATTGTTTATTCTTAGAAAAAATTGTCAGAGAATAATCCTGAATGAAGCATGTGCGGCAAATGTTTCAGACTCAGCCATTCTTCCATGTAAACAAACAAAAGAAATGTCTTTAAAGCTGAATTATGTATGATCTTAGAAAAATTACAGAAACAACTGAATTTCTTAACTTATGTAAAAGAACGAGTTACTAACCCTAATCCATCGGGTGGTATGCAAGGACCAAGACGTTTAGACGAAATCTCCCGGGCAGATGCTAAACTAACCCTAATCAATCAAATAATGTACAAGGACTGACCCTAATCTCTCAGGTGGGTTCAAGACTAACCCTAATCAGTCTAATAGTGTGCAAATTTAGCCCATTTCAGTTGAGTGACGTCAAATTTACGTCATAGTCCAATGAGCGCGAAGATCTTGCGCATCTGGGGACCGGTAAAGTAAAGTCTACCCCATGCTTGCAGTCAGACCATTTCTTTCCATCAGTAAGTTTTTTTTAGTATGTAATTTCTACAAGATATTTGTCGCCGCTTAATGATAGAAATATCGGCGTAATATCATCAGCGGTTGCTACATAGCTAGACCTTCTTATTGAAGATGAAAATTGCAACACCTGTTTACGTGTATTAATTACTGCATAAGATTGTATGATAAAAAAGGAAAATTCAAACACAGAATATTATTTCCTTCCCTAACAGACTTAAAAAACAAGAAGAATAATTTAAGTACAGCAGAGGTGTATTGTCATTTACATAAATGTAAGTACACAATGTACATGTATTGTCATTTTTATTCAATGTTTTGCATTTACATTTAATATTTGCAACTACGATTCTAATAAAATCTTAAGAGACAAAAGACGCATCGAACATATCTGTGATGTTTGTTTGTTAAAAATGTGCCCTGCATGTTTAATTTTTTTTAGTACAATTGAAGAGACCAAGAGGTTCTAATGAATGTAGCACAAATGAGTTTGTATGATGGTCTTTTTAACGAATCGCCATTCATTCAATGTGTGAAATAATGTTATTTCTTGTCATTAAACTGAAGATACACAATTTTGCAAGTCGAAATTTGATTGATGGACGTAAATAAAAACAAAGAATATTAGCATTTTATTTTGTTTAATCTGAACCAAATTAGAAATCTCATCCCACAGGAAAATTCATTTTCCAAGTAACTTACACAGGGGATTGATGTTTTTAACTTTTCTGTTCATAAAAATTTTTTACCTATAATGATAACATAGTACTGGGAAAGGATGAGGTGACTTGCATCCCCTCGTATACTGACAAAAAAATTAAATGTCTAAATTTTACCTTTATAGAATACTATTTTTAACAAAAATAGAAACGTGAATTGAAAGATATAGATCTTTAATTGGGGTAAGGGGTATCATGTTTAAATTCATTTTCCATTGCATTTTAACCCCGCCCCACTCTTTGAAGCCCTTAAAATATACGAGCGCAGATAGGTACAATTTTCGCCTTTGGCTGGTCACTGTATTTCATTGAAATCTACCTATATGTGAAAGGAGAAAATTGTACCTAACTGCGCTCACATGCTATTTTTTAAACAAGAGGCCCACGGGCCTTATAGGTCACCTGAGTATCATGTAACAACTTTCCAGCGATTGCATTTGGTTCGTGTTTTAATCCAAAAGCCATGAAATTCACAAATTTTGAAAGAGGCACCATTGGTTATGAAAGCGCAGATTTCAAAGCATTAATTTATTTTTAGTCAAAGTACCCCCCTGGTACCCCTGACCCAGCGGCCCTGAAATTATCTATTTTGAAAGAGGCCCCTTTCTTCATTATAAGGCCAGCATTTTTTTTATATTTAGGTTTAGTTATGAACATGAGAATAAAAAAGTCCCACAGGAGAAGGAAATAAATTTTTTTTGATAACTCAATTATTAACATTTTTACAGTCTTTTCCCAATAGGCTCCTTACCACTGGACACATGCTTACAAATAGGAAAGTAGAACATTTAATTGCTTATTTCATCATCTGCCAGTTTGGGCCAGTTATATAACTTGTGTGATGTTGATCAAAATATATTTTTAAAAAATCAATTCTTTAAAAGTCTTTCAATATATCTTCATTTTTTTTAATATGTGTTAGGTCAATGTGTAGACATTATGGACTTAACTTCTCCCATAGTTTTATTCATTACATCTGATGCATAAGCCACCCTTTTCTGAAGAATGATGCTTAGACTGTAAGCTATAACAGAGACCTTAACAATGTCGCTGGCAATATGCAATAGCTACCACGAGAAGTTTAAAACCTGGGGGCAGAAAATAATTTACAGTTACTTTTGAAACGAATACATAATTATCTCACCAGCATGTCATTGTGCAACAAAGTCGTCAGCATTTTATTTGTCTTTTGAACAGGTGAAACGTTTTGAATGGCACTCTTATCGATGAATTTTACACTAAACCAAGCTAGCTTTCTTTACCCGCCGTTTCATCGTTAAAAACCGGAAGTGCGAGTTCGTAAATTTGAAATCTCGATCCCGACTCAAATTTGACATCGGAAAGAAAAAAATTGTTTTATTTTTTTCTGAAAATTCAAAACCTTGAGCGGAGAGTTTGCAAAACTGAAAATAAAATAAATCCTGGCCTTAAATATGTAATTAGATCATTATCATATTAACCAGGAGCAAAGGATAAGATGTTCAAAGAATTCATGCATTTCACTAAATATAATCATTAGAGCCCCACCCTAAAACAAGAACCCCTGACCCTGGGGCCATAAAATTCACAATTTTGGTAGAGGCACTCTTGCTCATCATAACTATGTTCTTAGCTGGTTTATTTAATACCCAGGAGCAGAGAAGAAGATTTTCAAAGAAATAATGCATTTTCACTACCTACTTATTTAGCCCCGCCCTAGCACTAGAACCCCTAACCCCAGGGCCATGAATTTCACAATTTTGGTAGAGGACTCAATGCTGATTACAATCATGCAAACAGTTTGACTGCTTGATGTCCAGGAGTAAAGAAGAAGATTTTTAAAGATTACATTAATTTTAGTGGTTTTGGCCCCACCCCTCAGGCCCCAGGGGGGGGGGGGGGGCGGGGATCATGAAATTCACAATATTTGTTCCCCTTCACCCATAGATGCTTTGTGCCAAATTTGGTTGAAATTGGTTCAGTGTGTTCAGAGAAGAAGCTGAAAATGTTCAAATGTTAACGCACGACGCACGACGACGGACGAAAACAGATAGCAATAGGTCACCTGAGTTTACTCAGGTGACCTA